GAGCCCTGCATCGGGTTCCCCTCAGGGAATCTTCTTCTCCCTCTTCCTGTCTCTGCCTCTTTCTGTGTGTCTCATGGGTAAATAAAGTCTTTTAAAAATAATAATAAATATATATAAATTCAAAATGTTATATTACATATTAATTACATTAATATATATATTGCATATATAAACTAAACATTTGTATTATATCTAATGTATCTTACAAATTGTGTATCTTACAAATATATAAGTTAATTATGAATAATGTATATTTATACTATATATTATATAAGGTATATATTTAAAGTTTATTTTGCAATTTGTTATATAATATTTTATTATTTTGTAATTGAATTTTATTTAATTGTGTAATACTTGATACATATAATGTAACACATGTGACACTGAATTACGGGCACCCATGAGCCTACCATGGAACCTAAGATTGATCACTGCTTATACCTTTGCTGTATCCGCGTGCTTCCTCCCCAGTGTACCCCTACCTCTAGGCTGAGTCCTACCATCATCCCTGTGCCTTTTTGAAAACACTTCTGTCACATATGTTTCTATTCCTAAACAATATGTAATTTAGTTTCATTATTTTCTTTGAGCTATGCAAAGTGACTTCATACTATAGATCTTCTCTGAGTCACTTTTTGTAGTGAACACTGAATTTCTAAGATTCGTTCATGCTCTTGCTGTATCATATTCCATAGGACAAATGTATTTTATGTCCTTCTCTTTTATCGATGGTCTATTCACTCTTGCCGTGAACATTCATGTACATAGATGTCTTCAGGGCCTATGAGTAACAGTGTTGGTCTGGAGTGTAGGCCCATACATGAAATTTGCTGAATACTGTGTTATGCAAATACACCACGTTACAAGTGACCCATTGTTTTCCAACTAAAAAATTTGCATTTCCACCTCCAGCGTATTAGATTCCTCAATTTATATCCTCAACAGAAACTTGCAATCACCAGACTTCTTAATCCTAGCCAGTCAAATGGATGTGAAATGGTATCTTACTGGGAGACTTAATTTGCATTTTCCTCCTACTGATAAGATTGAGAATCTTTTTTGCAAATTTATGCACCACTGGGGTTTCCTCTGTATTGTATCTATTCATGTCCTTATATTTCTTTTTGTCGATTTAAAACTTTTATGTAATATTAAAATGATACATTTAACAGGCCTACCTGGTGACACCCAGGAGACTAGAACACTTCCCATTATTATTACAGTGCTACTGATTGGCAGGGGTTTTGTTGATAGTCTTATTATTCCTAACACGGTTAGGAATCGTGTTAGTAGTTGTGCTGCACAGCATATGGCTTGTCCTTTTGCTTCCTTTACAGACAGAACTAACGTAAGTGTAAAAAAAAAAAAAATACAGTGTTTTGCTTTCTCTCGAGCTTGGCGAGTTTTGTGCGTTTCTGCATTTACGGACCCATTTGTCACTTTCTTTACTCTCGCCTTTCCTTCTTTCATCTCAGATACTCCTGAGCTCACTTCTCCTTCTCAAGTTATTTTTTAGAAGTTCCTTAAGGGCAGCTCTGTGAGTAGTGAGCTCAATTTTTACTTCAAAATGTCTTTATTCAGGATCCCTGGGTGGCGCAGCGGTTTAGCGCCTGCCTTTGGCCCAGGGCGTGATCCTGGAGACCCCGGATCGAATCCCATGTTGGGCTCCCAGTGCATGGAGCCTGCTTCTCCCTCTGCCTGTGTCTCTGCCTCTCTCTCTCTCTCTCTCACTGTGTGCCTATCATAAATAAATTTTTTAAAAATATCTTTATAAAAAAAAATAAATAAAAAATAAAAAAATGTCTTTGTTCCACACTCCTTGAAAGATCATTTGGCTAAGTACAGACATGTAAATGGCAAATTATTTTCTCTGCCATTCTGCCGTCTACTGCGTCGCTTGTCTGCTGGCGAGAAGTTTTGCGGGCGTAGCTTTTGCTCTGAGTGGTGGGTCTCACCACTGGTTGTCTTTCAGGGTCTTTTTCTTCTTTTTTGATTTGTTGCTGTTTTACTGTTGTGTGTCTAGATGCGAATTCCTTTTTAGTTAATCCAGTTCGGGTTACATTCGATTTTTGTCTGTGGACTCTTATCTTTGATCAGGTCTGCAAACCGTCCTTGACGGGTCCTTCCCGAATTGCTTCTCCTCTGCTCTCCCCCGTCCTCTCCTCCTTCGGGGACTGATTGGACTTTGTGGGCCTGGTCTTACCATCTTCCCTGTGTCTTGCCCATCTTCCTGTCTCTCTGTGCCCTGGTCTGCATCATTTCTTAAGCTTTCTCTTCCAATGTTCTAGCTTTTTCATTAGCTGTATAAAGATTCGGATTGTTTTCTGACCTGTGATTAGTACTCTTAACCTGAAAACACGTAAGCAAAAGGACCATGTAGACAAATTGATGATGCTTTCCTTCAGATGGGATTTACGTTTGCTACTGTAGGGAACCACGGAATTAATACCAAATTGGGGCCATCTTAATCTCCAGTCAGTCTAGGAATCTCAGATTCAGCCCTACCCACCCAACCCCAGCTAGTAGTACCGTTTCTCCCAAAAGCAACCCTGCCTTTTGAGTAGTCTTACCACTCTTTTTTTCTGTTTTCAGGTTCTCTTCATTCTTCACACACACACATGCATATCCTTGCTGTATCACATTCCATAGGGCAAATGTATTTTATTTCCTTCTCTTTTATCAATGGTCTGTTTTCCATTAATGGCAATGGCAGTTTCCATTAATTGCTGCAACTCCAACAATGCAACAAAAAAATGTGTTTTATGAAAGATCTAGTTGTAGGGACACCTGGGTGGTTCAGTCAGTTAAGTGCCTGACTCTTGATCTCAGCTTAGGCGTAGGTCTCAGGTCGTGAGTTCAAGCCCTGCATTAAGCTCCACACTGGGCATGGAGCCTACTCAAAAAAAAAAAAAAAAAAAATCTAGTCATTTCACTGCAAGGACACCTTGCAGAGGATGTGGTCTGCAGAATGTGGTCTGCAGTAGAGCCCAAAGTAGAAATATCTACGGGAGGGACGCCTGGGATCAGCCATTGAGCATCTGCTTTCAGCTCAGGTCATGATCCTGGAGATCTGGGATCAAGTCCCACATTGGGCTCCCCGCAGGGAGCCTGCTTTTCCCTCTGCCTGTGTCTCTGCCTCTCCCTCTGCCTCTGTCTCTGCCTCTCCCTCTGAGTCTCTCATGAATAAATAAATAAAATCTTAAAAAAAAAAAACTATCTATGGGAGATTTCTTTACTGGCCATCTTTATGACATCTTGCTCCTCTCTCCTTTCCCCTCTTCCAACTCTCCTGTTTCTTCTTCCCAGATCTCATCCCCACCCTCCTAATTTCCAGAGTTCTGTCCCCTCTGTGAGGTCCTTTTGCTCCTGTGCAGAGCAGGTCAGTTCTCTGGGCTTACCTCTGCAGATTTGAACTGATCTGGGGTCATCTATAACAGCATCTACCTTCCTTAGAAGGCAGTTGCAGTTGTACATGACAATTTTCCTTCCACTCTGTTATCTGTACTCACTGAGTACATCCAAGGTGCCTGCCAAGGGCCTGGCACCACCAAGAGTGCTGTGGTGGGGTTATTGTTCAGTAGTTCACATCATTAGTAATGTGTTGTCTTTGCAGTGTACTGTGTAGCGGAAGCACTGTGTTAAAAGCTGTCTGTAAGCAATATGTAATATGCTCAGAAGCCTTCAAGTTATCAGTGTGTTTAAAGAAATACAGAAAAGAGGGGATCCCTGGGTGGCTCAGTGGTTTGGCGCCTGCCTTCGGCCCAGGGCGTAATCCTGGGGTCCCGGGATCGAGTCCTGCATTGGGCTCCTTGCGTGGAGCCTGCTTCTCTGTCTGCCTGTGTCTCTGCCTCTCTCTCTCTCTCTCATGAATAAATGAATAAAATCTTTTAAAAAATTAAAAAATAAAGAAATACAGAAAAGAATGACTAAATTTGTTCATGCATTTTAAAAGAAATTTTTAGCTACTATTTCCTTTCCTAAAGAATGAATCATCTGTAATAAGGTTTTGAATTCGTAGTTAGCCTTTTACACCCATATTTCTTCAGTAGCAGAAACCAGAATGAATAATTTCTCTGTTTTTCAATGGACATGAATATAATTGAGAAAAAACCTTCTCTTTTATAAATCATGTCAGTTTTACTACTCAGGTAACTCTAATTGCAGGAATATCATCTTCTATCTTATGACTTTAACAGAAAGCATTGAATGCAGATCTAATTTCATTCAGTTAGTAAAAGTTTATTTTGTGCCAGGCACTGGTTTGGGTTCTGGGGATAAATGGGCAATCAAACAAAGCCAAGTTCCTTTTATCTTAGTGGGATGACCATCTGCCAGGGGCACAGAAAATGCTGATAGATGTTAAGCAGAGTAGATGAAGGGAGAGTACTCTCGGAGGGGGGCGGCCTCAGTGACCTGGGTAAAGTGAGGAGCAAGCCACTGAAACCAGGGGCAGGGGGTGGGGTGGGCTGGGGTGGGGTGGGCTGGGGGGGCTTCCAGGCAGACAGCAGCAAACACCATGGCTCTGGAGTAGAGTATGTTTGCAATACCTAAAGATAAACCTTACTTTTTTAAAAAAATTTTTATTTATTTATGATAGTCACAGAGAGAGAGAGAGAGAGAGAGAGAGAGAGAGAGAGAGGCAGAGACACAGGCAGAGGGAGAAGCAGGCTCCATGCGCTGGGAGCCCGACGTGGGATTCAATCCCGAGTCTCCAGGATCGCGCCCTGGGCCAAAGGCAGGCGCCAAACCGCTGCGCCACCCAGGGATCCCTAAACCTTACTTATCATTAGACTAAACCTGTTCTTTTTTTTTTTTTTTTTTTAGAGTTTATATATTTGAGAGAGTGTGAGCAAGTGAGAGAAGGAGCTGGGGGAGGGGCAGAGAGGGAGGGAGGGGTAGGCTCCCTGCTGAGCACGAAGCCCAACACAGGATCATGACCTGAGCCACCCAGGCGCCCCTAGACTAAACCTGTTCTTGTCAATTCGTCTATTTTTCAGGTATCCGAGATGTTTCTAAATGGAGTGAGAAAACAAGAAAACCTCTCGAAACCTTATATGGCTATGACTACTTTGCCAAGACCTGTGAGAAGTGGGTAGATGGCATGCAACAATTTAAACATCTTCCAGATGGTAGGTTATATGAACTGTTTAGCTCTTCCTTTGCTGATTAGAGACGCTGCTTGCATTCCTCCCTTGGTGTTCCAGAATTCCCTGGTGATGAATGCATTCACCCATTGTCCTTTCACACTGATGTGCGGACAGAGGATGCTAGTGATTGTATACCATACATGCTCTTGTAGAATAAATCCACCTTAAACTAGATGATGTGTATCAGGGTTCACATTAAGTCTTTAATAGCAAACTGTTCTTTCTTTCCTTCTAATCCTTTGTGCGTATGATGACAAGTAATTCTCCAGAAGCCTCAAATAAGTGTTTGTCTTTTTCTAATTCTGGTGTTGGATAATCAGAAAACAAACAAGCTGCCACACGTACCATTTTTTTTTTCTTTTTCACATATAGACGCATTACATCCTCTGTCACTGGGCCAAAAAAAAGAAGGCCTGTCTGTCCTGACCTTCAGCTCCACCAGAATTAGCCTGAGGAGAACTGTTCAGTGTATTTCCCCACCTTCAGACTGTAGCTCCCCGTCTTTATCTGAAAAATTAACACGATTTCCAGTAACAGGAAGAACTGACATCTTAAAGAGAAATTCTGAATTAAAGTTGTTTTTAAATAGCTATTTACATTTATAATCATTCTCCTATTTTAATTGCTAAAAGAATAGAGAGAGTAGCTAAGATCTAATCTGGGAGCACGTTGATGACAACATGGCTGCAGCTGCAGGACCAGTTTGATCCATTAGGTAATCATTTCCAGAGTGAGTCACACCTATCAAAACTTTCACAATGAAAAGGACATTTGGAAATGTTACTTTTTTGGTTCAGGTTCAAAACAGCAAATATATCCTGTTCAGATGCAGTACCCAGCCACAGAAATAGGCCGTGGCAAATGTGTCTCCCTCAGCTCTTAAAACAAAAATGCCATAAAAAAATGTCTAAGACGGTTCTCCTTTAAAGAAGGCAGATTTTTGAAATGTGGACTTTTTATGCTTTCCTGACTAGAGAGCTAAAGGGGTAGGAAGACCCAAAGGTAGAAGCAGAATTGAATCAGCAGGCTCAAAAATATGTCCTGTGTTTGTTAAAATTTAAACCTTCCATCCTAAAAAAAAATAAAAAAAATAAAAAAAAATAAACCTTCCATCCTAAGGAAAGATACTGTCGAGAGCATGAAAAGACAAGCCACAGACTGGGAGGAAGGAAATATTTGCAAAGGAAATACTTGCTAAAGCAGGTGATCCAGATGTACAAGACTCTTCACATCTCTTGTTAGTAAAACAAACAACCTGATTAAAAGATGAGCCAAATAACAAGATCCCAGTACTCACCTGTTAGAATGGCCAAAGCAGGATTTTGAGGGCCATGAAAATACTCTGTGATCCCATAATTAAGGTTCCATGTCATTATACACTTGCCCAAACCCACAGAACGTGCAACACCAAGAGTGAAGCCCAATGTAAACTCCAGACTCCGGGTGACGATGACGTGTCAGTGCAGGTTTATCAGTTATAAAAACATCCCACTCTGGTGGGGAATATTGATAGCAAGGGAGGCTGTGCACGTGGGGGGGTGGGCACAGAGGAAATCCCTGAACCCTCCACTTTTGAAAAACCTAAATTTTTTAAAAACAAATATAGTTTAAAAAAAAAAGGAACAAAATGTCAAAATATAGAGGAACTAGCAGTGCATAAATAATCTTATAGCAAGACTGTTAACAAACTAATTTTTTTAAAGAATTTATTTATTTATTAATGAGGAACACAGAGCGAGGCAGAGACACAAGCAGAGAGAGAAGCAGACTCCATGTAGGAGCCCGATGCAGGACTCGATCCCAGGACCCCAGGATCACGCCCTGGGCTGGAGGCAGACGCTTAACCGCTGAGCCACCCAGGGGTCCCTGTTAATAAACTGTTTATCTCCCCTCCACACTCACTAATCTGACAGGAGCCCCCTTTTTTCCCATAATTGTGCACTCAAGTTTGTGGGTGCTCAGTTTCACCTCGGGGCTAACTGCACGGATTTGGAGCCAGACAGGCCCGGGTGTGAAGTGTGGCCTTGCTACTTTGCTACTTGGTCGCTCTCAGAATGACGGGCAGACTTCACAGCCTCTCTAAGCTGCCACTCCCTCCCTGTGAACCAAGAGGCGAATCACCACCCCGCAAGGTGCTGTGAGGACTAACGGGGTTCTGATCTGCGTTAGCAGGTGTGTGTCACCCCAGGGACCGGAGAGGACAGCTTCTGAGACCTAGAGAAGTACTTCCCTAGCCAACCTGTCCCCTTCTCATTGAGCAGGCTGTGACCCCCATACTGAGGAGACCAGCCGGGTGCCCAGGCAGCACCGCAGCAGGCTGGTCTGGGCAGGCTGGTCTGGTCCAGCAAAGGCAGGAGAGGAAGGAGCTTGCTTTATTGAGTACCTGCCCACTGCCCAGAACTATAGCTGTGACACTTCCTTTTGGCCTCACGGCCACCCCAGAGAACTGTAACTGTCCCCTGTTTGACCAGAGAGGAGGCTGAAACTCATCACTGAAGAGCCACCAAGATTCCCCAGGCAGGAAAGAGCAGGACAGGACCCAAGCCAGGTTGTCCCACCTCGGACTTAGAAGCGCTGTGACAGAAGGAGGTGAGGGCCTCACCATCTCCAGAGTATGTCAGGAATGTCCTGGAGGCAGGAGGGATGAAGGGCGGCCTACTTGGCACGTGTAACCTAAAACTTTGCAGTGAGGTGTAGAAGCCCTAAGGGCTAGCTGGGACCCCAGGGAACACTAAAGACCTTATTTCAAGGGAAATGCTTTTGAGGTGCAAGCATCTACCATCAGGTTGCAAACTGGGGACTTCTATTCATGATATACAGAGTCGTGGGGGTTTTTTTTGTTGTTTATTTTCCTTTTTTTGCATGAATTCCGCATATAGTCAGGCAAAGCTGCTTGTTTACCAGGAAAGCTTTCCAAGAAGAAAAAAAAAAACCCTGAGAAACAGAAAAGGAGGCCCACCGATTGGGAGAGCTAGAAGACCCCTCAAGGCCCATCCACCGCAAACCGCCTCTTTAGGGACAGGGGCGCGGAGGTCCAGGGGGAGGCAGGACACCACGCCTCTGACTCACCTGGCGCCCTGGCCACCCTGAAACAGATTCTCCGTGCTGTTTGTCTTGCAGGGAATATCTGCAAGCACCTGCTGCCCCTGGTTCAGTGCCCCACCTTAATCGTGCACGGGGAGAAGGATCCTCTGGTCCCTCGTCCCCACATCGACTTCATACACAAACACGTGAAAGGGTCGCGGTAAGTGCAGTCCCTGCCAGTCTCTGCTCCGGTGCGTCCCCCAGAGCTGAGGATGTCCCTGAAGGAGCTATTGAAAGGAAACGTTGGGGGTGAAGGGGTTTTTTCTTTAAGATTTTATTTATGTATTTGAGAGAGAGTAAGAGAGCACGAGCAAGGAACAGGCCCGTCAAAGGGAGAGGGAGGGAACCCCATAAGGGCTCAGTCCCCAGACCCTGAGATCATGACCTGAGCCGGAGGCAGATGCTGAAGCCACTGATCCGCCCAGGCGCCCCGGGGTTGGGGGTTTTTAAAGCCTGAGCCCCCCACACCCTCCCAGTAAACAATACTGACAGGTTTAGGATTCCCAGGGAAACCCAGAGCATGGGGAGCCCTGACTGATGGGTAAACGGGAACCAGAAGGAAAGGAATTCTTAGACGGACCTCTTTGCCATTGCCGCGAGAGCAAATGTGTTAATAGGTGCTGAGTTCTGTACCACTGCACACAGCTTAGATTTACAGCAAGCAGTGTTAACTAAAACGGTTTTATATAATTTGGGGATTTTTCAGATGAGTTTATTGTTATAAAAGTACCATCTACCCAGGAAAGAAAATTTGTGAAATCAGAACAAGAAAACGAATTGCCCGCTGCTTGTCACTCATTTAAATATCTCCGCTGTTAGCATTATTAATGTGTTCCTCCTTTCTAGTATTTTAAAAACATAGATATAATTATATTCTGTATTCAACTCTGAATCCTGCTTTTTTCCCCACTTTGAATTCTGCTGTAAACTTCTCATGTTATTTCAGCCTTAAATATGTACACATCAGATGGGAAGCCTGTTATTCAGAATCACAAAATACCAACGTATACAAGCCGTGTTGGTGGCTCGGTCGATGAAACAGGAGATACTTGTTCTTCGCATTCTTGTTTCTGCCAAGCAGCCTTGGGCATCGAAGCAGCTTATTATACATGTCAGCAGAAATTCTCTTCTTCAATTCCGTACATTTTTGTATGGAACAGAAACTTAATTTTTAAATACTTCGGCTGATGCAGAAGCCAGGTTTTGCTGGTACTTCTATCAAGATGAAAATTCAAAGTTGAATAAATTCAGTTTTCCTTTCCATGCCATGGGTGCATACCATGGAGGAGAAAGTGAGCTGTGACAGGGGGGATAGTGACCTGATTTTATTTACTTATTTTTTTAACAAACATACTGGGAAATAAGCATCTAAGTGAGTCTCGACCCCTTCGGAGACTATGTATTAATCCCAGAGATGCTGTCATTATTCTGGACATCTTTGGGATTCTATGGAATTCTTTTGAAATTGGCTTTATTAATGACTTCAGAAAATCCTCCCTCCTTCCCTCTCTTCCTCCTTCCCTCTTTCCCTTCCTCTCTGCCTCCCTCCTTTGCTCCTTTCCCCCCATGAGCTGATTTCTGATGCCCACCTTGAGCCGGCACTGCCTGGCATGGTTAGTGCTGGTCCCTGTCCTGAGCACTCACACAATCCAGCAAGGAGAACAGACTCAGAAATGGTTCCATGGGAGCTCCCGGGTGGCTGAGTCAGTGAAGCACCTGCCTTCGGCTCAGGTCGTGATCCTGGGGTCCTAGGATCGAGCCCCGTGTTGGGCTTCCCACTTAGCGGGGAGTCTGCTTCTCCCTCTGCGTCTCCCTCCTGCTCCTGCTCTCTCTCTCTCTCTCAAATAAATAAAATCCTTAAAAAAAGAAACAGTTCCACTACTTTTTAAATTATTATTAATTTCTTTAATTCCAGTATAGTTAACATACAGCATTATATTAGTTTTAGGTGCACAGTATAGTGACTCAACAATTCTGTATGTTAACTTGGGGCTCATCCTGATAAGTGTCCTCTTAATCCCCATCACCAAAAAAAAAAAAAAAAAAAAATCCCCATCACCTATTTCACCCATCCTTCCACCCGCCTCCCCTCAGTTTGTTCTTTGTAGTTAAGAGTCTGTTTCTTGGTTTGTCTCTTTTTTTTTCTTTTGCTTATATGTTTCCTAAATTCCACATATGAGTGAAATCATATCGTGTTTATCTTTCTCTGACTTCTCTGACTGACTTCTTTCACTGACCATTATACTCTCCAGCTCCATCCATGTCATTAAAATGTCAGGATTCCATCCTTTTTATGGCTGATATTCCATTGTGTATATATATGACCTCGTCTCTATCTATTCATCTATCAAGGGACACTTGGGCTATTACCGTAATGGGACTATTATAAATAGTGCTGCTATAAACATAGGGGTGCATGTATCCCTTTGAATTAGTGTTTTTATATTCTTTGGGGTAAATACCCAGTAGTGTAATTACTGGATTGTAGGGTAGCTCCATTTTTAACTTTTTTTGAGCAAGCTCCATGCTGTTTCCTAGAGCGGCTGCACCAGTGTGCATTCCCACCAGCAGGGTAAGAGGGTTTCTCTTTCTCTGCATCCTTGTCAATGCCCCTTGTTGCCTGTGTTGTCAGTTTTAGCCTTTCTGACAGGTGTGAGCTGATACCTCCTTGTAGTTCCAATTTGTATTTCCCTGAGGATGAGTGATGTTGAGCATCTTTTCGTGTGTCTGTTGGCCATCTGGATGTCTTCTGTGGAAAAATGTCTACTCATGTCTTCTGCCTATTTTTTAATTGGCTTATTTGCTTCTTGGATGCTGAGTTTATGAATTCTTTACGTAGTTTGGATACTAGCCCTTTATCAGATACATCATTTGCAAATATCTTCTCTCATTCAAGAAGCTTCTTATTTTGATGAAGTCCCAAGAGTTTATTCTTGCTTTTGTTTCTCTTGCCTCAGGAGACATGTCCAATGTCAGAGAAGTTACTGCCTGTGCTTTCTTCTAGGAGTTTTATGGTTTCAGGTCTCACATGTAGGTCCTTAATCCATATTGAGTTTATCTTTGTGTCTGGTGTAAGCCATCCACTACTTCTTTTTTTTTTAATATTTTGTTTGTTTATTTATTTGAGATAGAAAGCATGAGTAGAGGGAGGGGCAGAGGGAGAGGGAGAAGCAAACTCTCAGCTGAGCAGGGAGCCCGATGCGGGGCTCAATCCCAGGACCCTGTGATCATGACCTAAGCTGAAGGCAGACACTTAACCAGCTGAGCCACCAAGGGGCTCCAGCCATCCATTGCTTCTTAATCATACTATTACATGATAAATTTCAACAAACAAGTTTCTTGGAGAACCTTTAAATGTGAAGGACATGCTTTTTATTCTACAATAAAATATGATTATTATAAGCCTGTATGATTTTTAGATCTGTATAGTATTTTATATTTTAAAAGGCATTTTACATACAATATGTAATTATGCTTCACAACAAACTTGTGGAAAAAAATGTCCCCATTTATAGATGAGAAAGTGAAGATTGAAAGATCTTAAGTAATCTCCCAAGGTTGCATAGATAGCAAATGACAAATCCTAGATTTTTTTTCCCTCCTAATATAGCACTTTTCCCCCCACAGTACATCTGCCTCTCATAAACATACTCTTACTTTAATATGATGGTAAGATGCCTGGATTATATACTTGGCGACCTGGTTAATTGTCCTCTAGCTTCAGAAATGACAGGTTTTTGCACGCTAATGCCCATGATAAATGCAGTGTATTCTCTTAGAGAGCCAGGTTCAATAAAAGTCAGTCTGCAAGGAAGTTTAATTTAGGAATTCTGTTCCAAACCCATCTCCTAGCAACAGAATACATCAATATGGGAAAAAAATATTCCCTTCCCGTTCAGATGTTAATTATTTCAGTAGACTGTTTTATGGAAGATCATTTTCTTTTTTTATTTTTATTTATTTATTTATTTATTTATTTGAGAGAGAGAGAGAGCGCGCAAGTGAGCACACGAGCAGGGGAGAGGAACGGAGGGAGAGGGAGAAGCAGACTCCCCTCCTGAGCGGGGAGCCTGAGGCAGGGCTGGATCCCAGGATCCCAGGATCATGACCTGAGACAAAGGCTGATGCTTAACCGGCTGAACCACCAGGTGCCCCAGAAGATAATTCTCTTAGAGCAGATATTCCTTGGAACGAATGAGTGGAAGGTGAAGTGTTATTGGCAGTGATGATCTTACACTGGCTTGCATTTTACACCTGCTTCCTCTGCTAAAAGAGTCCTTTTTGTGGGGCCTGAACCCACCTAGAGCACAGGTGGTTTATTTCGGACCCCAGAAAAGGAAGGTGGATTCATTGAGCACCAAAGTCCTGAGATTCGACCCTGCAGGCCATGTGGCAACAGGAAAGCAAGGTCGAGTGGCAAGTTTGAATTGAACTCGGTATTTCATTACCTTGCCAGGTACGTGTATAATTAACTGTAAGGATACAGTTTATCCCTTCAAAGATTATACCAACAAATAGATACCACGTATGAAACTAATGCCTTTTTGTCCTCAGAAGGAGGCCAAATGAAGGCTCAGGTGGTTTAGCAGGCCTGTTTGCTGTGTGTGTTAATTTGTCTCTCTTTTTCTCTTTGTGAGGAACAATGGTAGTGAAGAGGCCTTAAACATCATTCCCGTTCAGCGTTTTTAAAGACTTTGTTTTTAGGTAGCTGAACCCTTCCTCCTAACAGACTCTGATGCAGAAGTCCAAGACATAATACATAACATAAAAGCTACTCTGATTCTAGCAGTGATGGGGAGCGCACCTTGTCCTGCCCCAACCCCTATGCGTCCCCTGCTCATCCAGCCGTCCCCTCTAGACTGCGAAGCCCTGACGCTGCTCACGGCCCCCTTGGGTAGCCGGCTGCTTCTTGGACATCACTCTTCAAGGCCAGCCCCACGCACTTTCAGAGGGTTTGCACCAAGGAGAGGTTGGCAGCCTTTGGGGTTGCAGTAGACAAGCCTCAGGAGGCAGTGGGGCTGGGCCAGCTCAGAAGAGGATGTGACTTCACAGCTGGTGAAGCCACCTGTGTTCTCCCTCTGTGAGTACTGGTCAGCTAGCACCACTGTAACAAGTACCACATGCTGGGTGGCTTAAATAGTAGAAATGCGTCCCCTCATG